CATGTGGCAGTGGCTTGTCAGGCACTTGCTGCTGAGTGTGCTACAAATTAACCATGGCTGGTAGGAGAACTGTCTCTCTGTATTAAGACAGCCTGGACAACAATGCACTTTTGTACAGATGTAGACATGGGTTCTTGGGGCTTCCCCTTGGAGTTTCTCTTGTGGTGCTTTGCCTTTGTGCCATCTGTTTCTCCTCATCCTCCTCCACCTCATGAGAAGACTCCTTTGCTAGCTCTGGTCTCTCAATGTGAATGCTCTTTCACTGTATTCACTTATGCAGTAGACCATCACTATCCCCAATATCCTTGTATTCTGTAGTATAGAGTCCTTTCTCAAAGACCTTGAAAGATATTTGAATGGAATCTTTACAACCCAAAGTCTGCTCGATTCAGGTCCTCTCCTGCAGGTGGCTGATATTGTTATGTTGTTGGGGTTTTGTCTCTGGTTGGCACATAACAGGGGAGCCATCTTTTTAGACCAGTAGCCAGCCACATGCCGTGATGAGTCTAGCTTGGAAAGGTTGTGGTCACTGTGTGGTATGTTCTCGGGTGACCACTCCTGGTACCGTGTTCTATTTGCCCCTTGCATCAGTAATTGCTCCTGTCTTAGAGTTGTTTAGTAGTTTGCTGCTACTAATCTTCCTTTGTCTTTGCTTTAACTTGGGTTTATCTAGTGATTTGATTTAGAAGATACACCATCAAAGAATACTTACAGAAGAACCACTGTTCTTAGATAACAAGAAAGTTTATTGAATGATAGCAATAAGTATAACTACATTTGAACAGGCACCTTTTGAGAATGGTGCAGATACAGCTGCTCCCTCCAAAAGCTAGAGTAGAAGTCTCTGCCTCGACACCTGCCCTGACTATGCTTGGCATCAGTGGAATGATTGGAGCTATTGTAGCATGAACATTAAACTCTTCAGAACCATTAACTCATACAAGAGTGTGACTGCCTCAGAATGAAAGAGGCATGACAGACTCTGGGTGTAAAGCACATAGGAGCATGAGGACCTTATTATATTTACAAACAACCTGCATGTTAATAGAATGGAATGACTCTCTGTTGTGGATCCCTTAGGTTTCTCTGATAGTGACATGGTTTCAATATATCACACCTTGAATTTGTGGGAACTCAGACATGGAGGCAAACCTGGTTGTTCTCTGGCCTGCAAAGCCATGTCCCTTGAGATCAGTTATCAACTTGAATTTCAAAAAGAACGCTTCAGGGTTCAAGTGCTTAGTTTTCCCAATAGTAGATAAGACTTACACATATTGATGAGGTCTTCAGAAGTGTTCATGCCCTAAGTCATGGGCTAGGCCATTGGACAACCAGAAATTGGATCAAGACAAACTCTACATTGTTTTCAAAAGATTTAGGAGATTTGAGTTTCATTTGTGCAACTCATGACACACCCCTTTCCTCACCAACAACAATGGTGTCCCCCAGAAATAGGTGTGGGACTTCCAAATCCAAATCCTGTTTGCCATTTTTCAAGTTCTATTGAGTTTCAACTTGGCAAAATTGAAGCCAACACCACCCACTTCCTGCACTCCCTCTCCTTTGCCTTCTTCAGTTGTACTTCAGTAAAACCAGCAAAACATTGATTCAGTAAAGAGGAGAAATTGGTTAAAAAAAGATGTTTTATAAACTATAATGGAAGAAAATAAACTTTAAAAAGTGTTTGAGTTCTCACTGGGTTAACTGTCTTGTGTGATTTACTGTAATGTATTACTATAACCTGTAATTACAAATTCATAATACATAATGTTATAATGAAAAAGATTTGTATAATCAATCTTTATTGCCAGGAACTATCCAAATTTTAGGATGCATAGTTTAAATTGCACTGAATCATTCAGAGTTTCCTTACAAATGTTTGCTGAGAAGTGCTTCTCTTTTAATGTAACATTATTTTAAATATAAGATGTGTACACATATGTGTTTCTGAAGTTTTTGCAGGGCTTTTTAAACCAACATAGGGATAGATCCAAAATGGTAAATGTTAGCCATCTAATCACATTACTAAATTTTTCCTCATAGTGTGGAAAATTCCAAACAATGCTATTCAAAGTGTATTTCAATGGAGTGAATTTAACTGTGATTAGTGAAATATGTACAGGATGGTCACCTAAAAGTTGGACACTCAGTGCTACTCATGTAGGTTCATGCTCTGATTGTTGCTGACACTCAAAGTCACTAACCAGCATATGTGGCAAGTTTGATCAGTTTTTAGCCAGGCTGCTACGTGAGAAAACTGACACTGTTCATCACATCTTAGGACCCCAGCAATATGCTGGCAATATGACAGAACTGTCCTAATGTTTGCAGCCCATATGTTCGTCTTCCCAATTGCATGGAGGGATGGGGCTATGAAGTGTGGAAGTGAACAGATTTTTTATATTGAATTCATATAGCATTTTTTTTGTTGGAATAATATTAGATCTTCAGAATAGTATGCCAGCTATGTGGGATTTGATCTGAAGCAGGAGCTGTAGATAGATTAATGCACAGCGCATAGTCGTGTTAAACTTAGCATTCAGTCTTTTTTATCTCAAACTAGGATTACCCAGTTTAGCTTTAGCATTCTCTAATGCATAGCACATTACCAATTAAATCATAACACTTTGAACCTTATTTAATGCTGTATATTGTGCGACAGAATAAACTTCATTGAGATGCTGCATATTTGTGGGCCGCTGTTATTTTAAACTTCAAAACATCCACAATGTTGATTTTAGCACGCAGAAAATAAAATGTCCTTGTTCAGTATCCCAACCCTCTGGGCTAATATGTAAGCTTAATTTGTTGGTCTATTTTTTGCTGAAATGTTTTCAGCTGCTTAATGACCCTGAACAGAGGTTTATCATAATATCAGCTGTCTAGTGCAGTAGTAATATTTGCAGCCTTTACTTTTTTAAAGTGGACCAAACTATTTAGAGCAAGGACATGTAAGGACTTGGACACATTCAGCAGTTCTGTGGAATTTTGACGTTACTACCAAAGTGGTGCTTGTGTAAATATTTCACCTGAAGGTGGTCTGCCTAACAGTATTCAAATAGCTGTGAATTGAAAAAGTGTAAGATGCACTTTGGTCTTTTAACTTTCTGTGTAGCAGCTGTGTCCATGCGTATGTGAGATGTTTATATCACAGAAATTACGATGTGCTCTGTTTAAAAACAAGTGTGAATTTCCAAATAATTTTCTTTTATACCCATTGAAATGTGGCTAGCTGTTTGTAAAGGAAAAAAAAATGTTTGTGTATTATTAAACATTTGTGATCTTAGTTGTTACAACTCATTGGGACAGCACATAGGAAATCAAGCCCCATTTTTCTAACAGTCATCACAAAAGTTAAACATTTTGTAAAGTATGTAAAGTTCCCCATCTTAACTGACTTCCAAGTGAAGATTGATAGAAAGCATGGATCAGGTTTCTGTATTGAGCAAGAATAACCATTTATTACTAGTAAATAGACTCTTCATACAGGTAAACAGTTCTAAACCATTGGCATATAACACTACGAATTAAAATTCTAATAGCCTTTTAAACTCCCTCTTATGCACATAGACAGACAAACAGACAGGGTAAACTGCATAATGGATAGAGGGGAAAAATTGGAAAGACAGTTCAGTAGCCTTTGTTTCCAGGTTCTGTTGTTGAGGCGATCCTTTTGCCTCTTCCATTGGACAGCACTTTGCTTCAGTCATCTTACTCTTGTTTCTTCCATTGGATGGTAAGAGACACAAGATGGCTGGTTCCCTTACAAATGGTCTTTGATTTATCAGTTGAAAGTCACAGCTAGCAACAACTGTTGCAGGAAATATACATGGTTTTCCTCAGGTTTACATTGCGGCTTGGCTGCAGAGACTATAGAAACTGCTCCTGTGCAGGGGAATATCTGAACACTTCTTTCTTAGTGTAACTTGTTCCCAGCTCCAAATTGTTGAGTTCCCTGAGAACCAATCACATACTTGTTGGTGGGCAAAAAGCTCTTTCTCATTGGTAACTGCTCACTGGTCCACAGATCATCAACTTCTTGTTGGCAGCAAAAGCTGCATCTATGCACTTCCTCAGCTTCAATTCATTTGCAACTCAAACCTCAGTTAACTGATTGTTCAAATAACTGTTTATGCAATGCCTGCCATAGGCATCAGCTACATGCTTTTCAAAACTGCAACCACTCTTTCAAACAGTGATTTTAAAAAACCTCTTTCTCATTTTAGTCCAGAGATTAAAAAAAAACAAAACTACATGATTCTTACAATATCTACATATTTCGGCTTGTTAAATTTAAAATAACTTTTCGAAGTTTAATTGCAAGTACCCGTTTTATGATTATAAACATGTGTTAGAGGAGTCAATAATAAATCTTTAAAATATATTAGTTAACCAAAACAAAACTATCTCTAATTTTTAGTGAGAAACCTAACTTCATTATAGAAATTTCATTGTTCTGAATGAGACAATGAGACAACAACAATTCAGTCACTTCTCTTTTAAGTATTTTACATATGTTGTATGACGCTGAAATAAATAACATACCCTTAAGGTGCAGATATATTAAGGATTGAAAGTATCAGACCATTTTCGCTAAGCATAATAAACTGGTATACAATTGGATAAAGTAGATGCAAAAATAGAGAATCATTCAGTGTGGCTCATCAGTTATTCAGAATTGCAAATGTTAATAATCAAGAGAATAATAAGGAGGAAATCAAATGTTAAACTTGAATTTACAGAAGGGTAATTGAATATTTTTTGTTTGATGGTTTGAAATTAAGGCCTGGCTGTTTTATCTGTGCTTTGTGAAATTAATATAAAAGCGGTTCATTGTTCCATATTGTTAGAATCCAGAAATGGAGCTGTGAAGCTAGTATAATGTTAGATTGAAACTTTTATTATTGAAATAAAAATGCAATTTTGTGGAGTAACAATGTTTCTCTGTTATGTTAAGCTGCTCTAATTATTTAACACAAACCTTTTGTTTTCAATATTAGGAATGGAGGAAGCAAGTTTGTGCCTTGGTGTATCTTCAGCAGTGCCTGAAGCTGATGTCCCACTCAGCAAACCAGTATTGAACGGCCAGTATCCAATAACCCAGAAGCTGCATCAGTTGACAACTCAACTGGGACATGCCTTTCCAGAACTCCAGACCAGACAGACCCCTGAGGACAAAGCAGCAATATCATTGGATGAAAAGCATCATGTGACTGCAGCCAACCAGCCAATTAACAGCCAAATGACCATGCCGGCAAATCAGCTGAATACAGACATTGACAGTAACTTGGGTCTGAATGGGAGAGTTGACTTACAGCATTTCTTAAATGGACAGAACCTTGGCATAATTTCACAGATAAATGGCACAGAAGATGATGCAAAAAAATCCAGAAAGTACCCATGCCCCATTTGTGGTAAGCGCTTTCGTTTTAACAGCATTTTGTCACTCCACATGCGCACTCACACTGGAGAAAAACCATTCAAATGTCCTTACTGTGATCACAGAGCAGCTCAGAAAGGTAACTTGAAGATTCATCTTCGGACTCACAAACTTGGGAATCTTGGAAAAGGTCGTGGGAGGGTCAGAGAAGAAAACAGGCTTCTGCATGAGCTCGAAGAAAGGGCTATCCTGAGGGATAAACAGATGAAAAGTGGCTTAGGCCAGCCAAGAGCTGATGGGAAGCAGCATCAAGCTGTTGTTAACCCCAGCAACTTGCCTTTACCAGCCAGTCAGAGTGGTTCTGATGTTTCTAATACAATATGTATTCCCAAGCCTACAGGTGCACAGGAAGAACCAGCAGCTGCTATTGTGGGATTCAGGTGCACATTTTGCAAGGGGAAGTTTAAGAAACGTGAGGAGTTAGACCGCCATATTCGGATACTCCACAAACCTTACAAGTGCACCCTTTGTGAATTTGCTGCCTCTCAAGAGGAAGACCTGATCAGTCATGTGGAGAAAGCACACATAACTGCTGAATCAGTACCAGGTCAAGGGTCGAGTGGAAACGGAGAGCAACCCAGTAATGAATTCCGCTGTGAAGTCTGTGGTCAGATCTTTAGCCAGGCCTGGTTCCTGAAAGGTCACATGAGAAAGCACAAGGATTCTTTTGAACATAGCTGTCAGATTTGTGGACGACGATTCAAGGAGCCCTGGTTTCTCAAAAACCACATGAAGGTGCATCTTAACAAATTGGCTGTAAAGAACACAACTCAGAGTGATCCAGAGGTGCCTGTGACTCTAAATAATATGGTGCAAGATTCCCACTCCAATGTCTATTCAGCATACGTGTCTTGTTTACAGAGTGGTTTTTTATCGCCTGATAAACTGAGCTTGAATGAACAAAGCCAACTTCATTATAATAAAGCAGAAATTGCACGGAAGGAAAAAGAAATGCTTGGAAAGCTATTAGTACCTGTGAGTAGCACAACCCGTGGTGTGGTGGAAGGAGAAAAACGTTCCTTACTGGGATGTCTGTCACTGGCACCTCCTTTAAAGGCTAGCTGCATGGAGCGTTTGCAGGCAGTAGCCCGGGTGGCAGAGTTTGATCCAGTAAACAGCTACCAGGCCTGGCAGCTGGTGACAAGAGGAATGGCAATGGAGCAGGCAGTGCTGCCAAAGAAGCACCTGCACCCTGGTCAGGAAGAAAATCTGACCAGTGCCAGTGTAAACTTTGACAAGGAGAAAGGAGAATTTATTTCTGTGTCTGGAGAAAAATCAAAGCAAAAACTAGATGGTGACCTGATTCAAAGCACCAGAAGAAGTAACCTGAATGAAGTTCTGGGTAAAGATGATTTAATGGGAAGCAGGGAATTTATGACACAAGGAATGAATCAAGGTCTGGAATATAAAATTTCTGGATTAGGACAGAACCATGGAAATATGAAAGAAAAACCAACTGAATGCCCAGACTGTGGCAGAGTATTTCGAACCTATCATCAAGTTGTTGTGCATTCCAGGGTGCATAAGAAGGCAAGGAAACCCGGAGATGAAGCTGTCCAGGTTGCTTTGGATGAGCGACGTGGATCTGGAAGTGACCAAGATTCCCAATCAGTTAGCAGGTCAACTACACCAGGATCATCCAACATAACTGAGGATAACACAACTGCAGGTGGCTTCTCCATAACTGGAAATACACAAGAAGATAGTCCAAACCCATCTTCTCCTTCTTCATCAGGTAACATAAATATGTATTCCTCATTACAGTTTTCATGCTACCTTTTTATACGTTTCAAAAATATTGAGCTGAAAGAAGTTTTTCCTATAATTGTCACTCAACAGCTGTGATGAAATGTATGTCTTGAAAGTCGAAAGCTTAACGTTTTCCCACTGACAATGTTATTATGATTATCAAAATTTATCAACCGCTGGCACATTGTCAGTGGACACAGCCATTTTAAAATTGATTTTAAACACTTCTTCACTTGCCTGGGCCTACCTGCAAGTGAATTGTCTCCTTTGATTAGCCCGTTTACTTCTGGTCCATGTCCATTCTCTTGCAATTTGAAATAAATACACTGATTGCCAATTATCTCACGCATGGGGGAGTTGAATTTCTTGAAGAATATTATGAGGTATGTGCGTGTTTCTCCTGAGTACAATAAATGTTAAGATTTCTATTTGGTTTCAGAGATATTTGACTTTTGAATATTTATGACAAGCAACATTTATAATTCATAATATAGATTTTATGTATATTTTCTTTTACCTATATCTATTCAGATTACAGTTTTAAAATAGGCAATTCAATCGGAAGATAGATTTTCACTCAATATCATGGTCTAAATCAGCCACCAAACCAAATCAAAAGCATTTTTATGTATATGCTGCAAAATACGTAGAGACTGACAGAGGGACTTGCTGGGGTGAATGTGATGAAAACACTACTACTTTTCATTTAACTGTGTAATTTTTATGTTGCTGTTTCTTTCCTAAATAAGTCATGTGTAATCATGAATGAAGAGGCTTGTAATTGCAGTGGAAGGTAAAGTGTGGGAACATTGCAGTGTTTACCATTGTACCACAGTGTTCTGGGCAAATTGAACATTAGGATATTCCATCATTTGCATTATGAAATCAAAGTTACTGGGGATAAAATTGGTCTTCAGTAAAGGCACAAAAGAGGTGATGGAGAATGACCCATCTGTTTTACACTAAGCACAAATATCTTTTTTGTTGACTTCATGGAAAAGGAAGTCAGGTAAGGTGTGAGATAAACCATTGATCTGCTTTCACTCATTCTCCATTCTGGTCAAAGGACAACTTCACCCCAAAAATTGTATTTAAAAAAGTACTGTGGATACAAAAACAGAAACTGACAGTGAACCTCAACAGGTCTGATTGCATCCCCGGAGACAGAAACGAAGTTTATGGTTTGAATCTAATATGACTCTTCAAAAATTGTCACCGAAGAAGAGTCACTGGAGGTTGAAATATTAACTGTTTCTCTTTCCACAGATGGTGCCAGACCCACTGAGTTTCAGGAGCACTTTCTGTTTTTATTTTGATTTAAATATTTTCTCATCCACACATCTAATAACCTTCTACTACCATGCTTCCATTTTCATTGTGTGGTGTGAGGCATGTTGTGAGATAGTCTGCGTTGTCAAACTTTCTCTATTCACCATCCATGTTACTCCATAATTGACTAGCAGGAGGTCTTGCTCCCTGTGCTGTAACAAGGCCTGCCTATTTCCCCTCTTGTTCTCTCATTATAATCTTGTTTGTTGTTCCATTGCTAATGTTGTCTGAATAGTGATAGAAACCACTTTGCATTTTTGGAATTTGGGGTAAGTTGTAAATGTAACTAGAGATGATTCTTTCTATTACCAAGACTGCATTCTATTCAGGGTGATAACTATAGTAGCATTGATAAGAATAATTTCATTGATGACAGCATTGGCGGTGGTAAATATAATCAACAGGTCTCATTGAAAATATCGTACTGAGAATTTGCAGCCAAAAAAAAATGTCATTTCAACCCAAGAGACCTAATTAGGACATTACAGATTGCTCTAATCACAATATAAAGAAAACATTACATGAGCAAAGAGGAGGTAATGGTAGGGTAACAATATGCGTGAGCTGAATACATCACTTTTGTTCAGTTCTTCCTTGTACAGTGTTTTCCTTGTTGGATTAATACATTATTAATTTAAAGAAAAATCTTAAGGAAATTGTTAGAACAGTAAAATCCACATTGCACATTCCAGAGATTCCTACAATACTTAAAACCGTTTTTTTAAATATCCATGAAATATGCTGGCCAGTTCCTGTTGAAGTGAACTAATTTGCAACTTAACATTTGCAAGTCAGTTTTAAAGATCTAACAAAAGGAAAGTGTAGCACAGAAAATGGATAAACAGTACTAAATAATATGGAGTATCTTATTAAACACAGTTGGTAGGATTAATATTGGCTTGTATTTCTGAAACAATATCTTGTATATCGTTTACTCCTTTTCCAAGTATTCTATTAACAAAATGATCATAGTGTAAAACTGATCAAAGTGGCTGTCGACGACGGCATTTGCCTATTTTCACATTTGTTTTAAGCACTCATTCATTTATGCTGTAGCTTCTAAAAATGTAGTGATTTAAGTTGGATTTCTTTTAAGTGTTTATTAAACCCTTAAAATTAACAAGGTGAGACTGGGTTTTCTGCTACCTTTTCACATAATAAAAAATAGCACTTAATGTGCTGTGATGAGATGAGATCATGAAATCAGCACAAAATATTGATATCATGGCATTCCCTAAGAACATGTGGAGAGAAATCAAGAAAAAAGTTTACATTATTATTGGAAGCTGACTTCCTTGTTTTTTGTTTTTTCTAATAAAATGTTTAAAATGGGCAGTAAACAACCCAGCAGCTTGAAAGGATTAAAGGTAATGAGGTGAATTTTCTTGAATCATTATGAACATAAATGATTACTGTTAGAATTGTCTGAATAGGTAGCACTTCAACTGTGCATTAAGCTAAGAACAACTGAAATACTTTAATAGAAGCAATATTTGTAAAATATGATGGGAAATATGTAGTAAATGGGTTATATACAAAGTGAAACTTGTACCTAAGAGATTGGGAGAAATAATATTCATTCAAAGCTTTGATGCCATAGCAAATAATTTCAATTACATTTTGTGTGACTGTAAAAACGTTAAATACACTACTCAATTTGAGGCCAATTGTTTTTGTTGTTATTGAATGAATTTTTCAATAGATCCATGAAGTAAATACTTCATTTCTTCAACTCTGTTAACATATTAATTTTTACTATTTTACATTTCCAAATTTGGGGAATACCCCTTACATGTAGAATAAATGTTGCGTTTACCGCTTAACATTTTGATTTTAATAAAACTTAAAGTCATTTTAAAACATTTGTGTTACACTGCTATTAAGCATAGGATCCAATAAAATGAAAAATATATAAACCATACAACGAAAAACAATTATCACACAATGTAATGGTTTGTGTTGTGAATCCTGAATCAAGTATTTGTTAAGTACATGGCCTTGATTGAACCCAAATGGGGTAAATGTTGTACTAAAACAGTCATGACTAAAATTGGTGAATGCAACTTACAGAAACAATGCAGGAGCCAACCATTTGTTCTCTGGGTGGAAAAGGTGTGTGATGTGATGAGTGTGTGAAATGACACCAATAAGCAAGAGAACACTTGTGCTGCAACTTTTCAATTGAGCAACATAGCTCTTGTAACAAAGTCCAGTGAGATAGGGCATTTCATACAGGTTGCAGTAAAAACGTGGACTTCCTCAGACAAATAAATTATAAGTGGTATATCAATTAAATAATCATTGCACTTATTACATATTTTAGTTACATTTTAATTCAAAAATGCTTATTGCTCAATCTAGGTTACACCATGTTGATTTTACAAGTGTTAGCATTAATACCCATTTGTTTAACTCAAAAGGATAATAATTTAATCTTTTGACTATTGGTTGATGGGGTGGGAGATGCAGTGTGATCGTCAAAAGGAGGAACAACTAAAATTTCTACTCTTGCTTGCTGGCCATTCCTGCAAACAATATGTGTGAATTTTGAAGAAGAATGTAAAAAGGCTCACAATTAGATATTTGAAGGAAAAGAGAAATAAAATCATATAGGAAAATTGTTTATCTGTTTGGTATATTCACATACTTCTTCACTTTGGGCAATGATGAGGAATTGTTTGAAGGATGAACAACTGATTATCAATTTATGGAACCTTCTCATAAGTAGTCATTACATGGTCAACAAGTCCTACAATGGATCATGAACTCTGAGCTTCTGGTTCAGAGGCAAGGGCACTACCTGGGGCAGAGCAACTCCTTTGGGAATACAGATGGGACATGGGATGAGAATTACTGCTTGAAATATTAACAGGTGAGGAAGGAGCCTGTTTCCCTGTTGTAATTTCTATGCAGTATAATTTCTGTAATGTTACCCTTCATGGACGAATAACTGCAAACATTGAATGAATGCAAATTAAAAAGCACACTGTTGAGTGGGGCAAGAGTGGGTATGCTTCCAGTGATATTACAGTCATTTCACAAAACATACATTATTTTTATAAGATGAATACAGTTATAAAATAATTATACTTTAAAAGTGAAGGGTACTTAAATCTTCTGATCATCTGAATAACATCCATGCTGATTGGCTTGGGGATTCAAAAATCTACATGTGATTTATTGCACCAGAATAAATCTCAAGGCCTAATGATCCATTCAGGCAACTTTCATGCTTTCTCATAACTTTGATTTTCTTAATGTTCAAGTTAAGTCTGTATGGAGTTAAAAAGTCATTGTTTGTTAACATTTTCTTGCAAGTTTTCTGACTTGAACAATTGTTTACCATTTAATTCATTTTTGAAATAATAGAAATATTCAGTTCAAAACTTAATTTTACATCGCAATAAAAGAAACATTACAAATGATTTCTGATTGAAGCAGCTTGCCCGAGGGCCATGACAAGGAGCCTTCAAACAAGTCAGTCTTTAACAAATATAGGAATTTGAGTTGCACCATACCACTGCCTATTGTAATAATTGGATAATACTTCAGAAAGCCACCAAGTGTTGTTGTTTTGCTTTATGATAAACTTAATACTTACTAAAAAATCTATTACAGGAATTAATAGCAATAATGCATTTCAGTAATATAAGTAAT